CATTTATTCATTTATTCATTTATTCATTTGTTCATTTATTTATTAATTCGTTTATTCATTTATTCACTTATTCATTTTCTTATTTTCTTATTTATTCTGGAATCATTTTTAATTGTTTTATTAGTTTTTGATTTATGTATCATTGAATTTCTTCTTTAACCATCAAAACTAGTTTAGACAGTTATTTATATTTTAAAGGGACTGTAACTTGCAAGGGTAATTTTAATTGACCCTCAATGCAAAGATGGTACCCTTAAAAGCTTTGTCTGATCAATTGTATAAATTAAATAAAAATCTTTATAATTTTGAAAGCTGATTTCAAAGGTGGCAACATAAAGACAGTTGACACTTGTGACGTCCGAATACTGCTGTTATACTGAGAGTGTACAAATTCTACGTTGCTATCTATTGATAATCTATTCATTCATACCGAGGGATTCTTTAAATTCCACTCTAATATATATTCTATTCTCTATGATTAGAGATTAGATTAAAATTTTATGAATTAGGCATGAACCTCTTTAAATGGAAGGTCACTTAAAATTATGCCTTGCAGAAGCTTTTAAAATGTGGCATTGTTCTAATTTTTAACAGAATTCCTGTATATTGTTTGTTATTTTCATTTTGCTGAGCCAGATCCATCGTTGCTCCAATTAAAATACTGCTCTCAACCAAAAAAGATTGAATGTAAAATAGATAGTCTAATTCATTGGTTAAGCAGATGCAGTGTTTGATAGTTTTTACAAATTGCAAAAGTCAATTACTTTTATTCAAAAGTTTTCATTGCAAATACAAACACTCTATCTTATACAAAAGTTTAAACTTCTTAATTTCAGATTTAATAAGTGTCTGCTTTCCTGAGATTAGATGTTATAACAGCGGGGAATAGGGATTGGGTTGAGCTATGGTCTTCATCCTTCCTGTATCCACAATCAATCAATCAATCAATCAGACGTAAATTGTTCCAGAAATAAAATCTGGGAATCGTTGATTTGAGGATGTTTATGATTGCAAAAAAATCATGCTTTTTAAGTTTCATTCAATTTTTTTCTTTTTTTCTTTATAATTTCATACATTTTATTCATGGTGATTGCCTAAGTCTTGGTTTAATATCTGGAATGTGTAGAACAGTTGGAGGCCTAAAATTTTGAATTACAAACTGTGGTTAGAACTTTTAGATTTTAATCCGTTTGTACGGTGGTATTTGCTTTCCTTTCCACCTAAATGGGACTTTAATTGTAATTTCAAGATACTCCAAGAAAGGGAATTCCCCATTTACAACAATTAAAAACCTTTTATGAGGAAACATCATCTCTAAAATGATGTTCAAAATGCCGTAAAAATGGACGCTCCGCTCATTTTAAATTATACTTTTAGGCTGAACTTAAGTTGTCTGAGATGTTTCTTTATCATCCCAAATGAAGTGTTTTCATTAAACCCCTGGAGTTTAATGTCTCTCATTGGTCTGATGTAACAGCTTTACCGAAATTAACTTAAAAGTTTCAGCCTCTGTTATAAAAAATATTTTAACCTTTCGCTGGGTTGAAAATTAGAAACAGTTGACTGGGTCCTTGACAAGGTGTAAGATCTAAACAAATTACATATTTCAAAATTAAGAACTGTAGAGGATATGAAATCCCCGAAAGAGGATTAGGAAATCCGCAAATCAGTGGTGTTGGACCCTGGAACCGGAGAAGACCTTCTCAACTTCTTCTCCTTTTTTACACTCTTTATTTAATATGTATTTATGTCTAGAAGCAATAAATGTACTTCTAAAGAACTGAATTTGTTAAATAATCAGAGTTAAAAACTTTAGAATGGTGGATATCGAGATTATAATGCTTGATCCTCTCTTTTTCTTAATATCGAGACTAACCTTGTATCCTGAAAAGTGTATAAAATTCAACCAATCAGAGTCGCATATAAGAAGCCGATTAATTTGAAATTTTACGTGCCATTTAAGATTATATACAGAAACGGGAGGGACTCTCAAAATAAGAAAAACCGGTTTTTGATTTTTCTCTACTATATCCAAGAAAGAACGGTTTAAGAAGAAAATCAAAAGTGTGTACATTGGATACTCAGATTAAGTAATCGGGATTAAGGATATCTCATTCTAAAGTTTTCAGCTCAGAGCTGGGAACTTTAAAATGGTGGATAGCGGAATTAATGCTTGATCCACTCTTTTTCTTAATCTCCAGATTAAATATTGCTTGTTGTCCTCATGAATTTAATCTCCAGATTAATTAACAGATCAGGATTAAGGATATCACATTCTAAAGTTTTCAGCTCAGGTCAATTAAAATTAAAACAATATTGTTAAAATTTAGGTGTCAATTAAGTCTTAATTATGCTTGGATAGCATTTGAAAGCTTTGAACTTAATATCTTTAAAAACACAGGAATTTAAAATCGTTTCCATGGTAAGAGCTTTACGTTTCTTCTATTTAATATAAAATTATTCACCTATTTGCTTGTTTCGATCTATTGTAGCTGTAGGTTTTAAACTTTTCTTTTCTAGACGCCAGATCATATTCCTTGCTTTTGTGCCCTGGCTGTACACTCTAGATAAAACCCAGACTATATTTCCCAGGATTTTTTACTAAAATATCTGATGTTGAAATAAGGACATTTGAAAAGAAATGTTGTGGAATCTGAGAACAAATATTTTGAAAAATAGATTTTGAAATACAGTTAAAATTCCAAAAGTACTTCTATTCCTTTCAATAATTCAGTAGACAGGCTTGTAATTACCTGTGCCCGCATCTGATTTCTAATTCGTGGTTCTTCTTCCCCGAAATTGTGAACACTGGTTGCCCCTCTGCGCAGACTGCTGGCCTGGTGTACTGTAGAGACTGGTTTATGTGACTGTACACCAGAGCTGGTTACTTCAACAATCCCGGGGTCATTTGCATAGCTTGGTTGTTCCTGGAAATTTAGAACCAATAAAGTGACTTTTAATTAAGTATGAATTAGATATCCATGTTTTTGTTTATCTGCATTTGGGTGTTTTCTGTGAAAGTAATTTGCACATTTCTTGCTTATAGAAGCAATGGTAGAAATGATCAGAATTAAACACTTTTGGAGTCAGAAATTTTTTTATCACATTTAGGCCTTGCCATCTTTGTAAGGATGGTTAGTGAAAATTATTTAGTCCTTTTGCAAACCCTACGTGTTTGATGTAAAAGATGGGTTTCAAATAAAATTCACCTGTTCTGTGGTCTGCTGATTTTCTTCATTCATATAGGTAGGTTCAGTCTCAGTGGTTGCTCTAAATACACGAATTTAAGAAAGGAAACTATCAAGTTGTCTGCCACATTCTTAAAAATAATTCCTAAAATTCAAAATATTTTGCTAAAAACTAAATACATTAAGAATTAACAGCACATATCCTCAACAGTTAATTCTCTTAACTTCTTCCTAGCCTTTTTTTATAGAAACCTGTGATTGAAAATAATAAAATTTTCAGATGATGCTTCATGAATTTTGTTCAGAAATGTTAATTGGACATGCAACTCTTTTAAATGGAAGATCTTATGAAATTATGTCTGCTGAGTCCGAATTTAATGAAATTGAGCTGCATCTCAAATTCGTCAAAAATCAGTTTTAATTGAGCTTGGGCTTAAATCTTGAAACATGAAATTCAATTTTAAGTAGAGCCCATCATATTTGAGCCGCCTCTCAAATTTAAGCTGCAGCTCAAATTCCTTAACTAGGCCACAATCCAATAACATTTTCTAAAATTAACTCATCCCCTTTGTATTACCTGACAAGATCCGGGGTAACATCATGATCAGATCTGGTATCATAGGGGAAATCACTGTATACAATGTATCAAATATTTTTTTCATAAAACAAGATGATTTAAGTTTACACATTTCAAAATTTTTATATCTGATAAGTGGAAGGCATTGCAAGTAAAACTCTAAAATGGAGGATTTTGTATGATCAACTCCTAAACTAAAGGATATGATTTAAGATTTTTACATTTACGCAGTTAAAAGCTGCGTTGTTGTGAATGCATTGATGTCTAAAAATATTTAAATTCCTGACTGCATCAAGAAATTCATCCTGGGCCCCATCCTCCACAACATCAGGGAACTGAAAATAACAATAAAAATAACTAAACAAAATAATTTTTGTTTTTAGCATAATGATATGACAACCCCTACTGAAAGCTTAGTGTCCACAAATTATTTGGATATAATTTGCCAAAAAAATCATTAGCACTGAAACCGTCATGACTAAACCTGAACATATTGGTTCAATGTTGACATAGATACCTTTCACACTTGAAGCTGAAAATTGTTTGTGTTAATGGGAATGTTATTGAAGTCATTAAGATGCAAAGTTTTTAAGTTCTGAATATAATCAATTTCAATGTCAAAATGTCTCTACAGTTTAGATTAAGTTTTCATATTGACAATAGGGTTCTGATCATATGGGTAATGGGTTAAATAACAATGATAAGTCTGATGTCTTGAGGTGGTTCACTAAGTTTTCCATCATGCAGTACCACTGGTCTTTATAATCAGCATCAAATAACACTTTTTAATACAGTTCTTAGCCTTAAGCTCTAAATCTAGCTGCAGTAATTCTTACTATTCAATATATCTGTACTTAATATGCATTAAAAATTCTTATTTGATGCTAATGACTTGATTGGATGAATTTTCAATGGCAATGTAAGGTTTCCACTGGAATTTTGGGTTACGGTTTACAAACAGAAATGATCAGTAATTTTTCCAGTTATGAAAGGCTTCCCGGAAATTTTTCGGGATAAGGGAATCAAAATCTGATTTTTTCCAGTTTATAGAAAGGGACTTGGATATTTTTCCAGTTTCTATTCTGTAAACCAAAAAAGTTTTCATTTCGTAAACCAGAAAATTTTGGTTTCCATTTTGTAAACCAGAAAATTTCAGCTTACATTTCATCTGAAATTATCCTGGAATTCTAATTCATGGATCAAAAATTTGCCCAATCAATCTGTTTCCAAAATGAATTTTGTTTTCTGGAATTATGTGAACTCTAGTAATAAGAGATTAAGACAAAGATAAGATACCTGCTGATTCATTTGAGCCTGATTTAGAGGAACCATCATCATCATTGGGTAGATAATAGGCTGGAGCCCCTAGATTTTTGGAAAAATTAAAACCTTCATCTTTGAATAAGATTGAAATTCATTTTACTAACTTAATGTCCTAATAATGTCAAATGTAAAACTTATTAAAAACCAATAAATAACCCTTTCACATCGGGCGGGGGCGGGAGGCCATTATTGGCCTTAATTTAAATAGATGTGAGTCACTCTACTTTCAGTGCCAGCAATGCTGAAAAACTCGGGTTCATGGTAAAAAATAAAGGTTTTGCCTATGAATGGTGTTAAGCCACGATAAGGCTAATATTGAATTGCCACAGGTACTTGATGTTATATACAATATTGGCTAGATTTTATTGTGACCAATTAGGGAATTTGTGAAATCATTATTAATTTTATCAATATTTGATGGTTTCAGTTTAATGAAAATAATCGGATTGTAACAATCCAACTTTGGAGTTCCTATATTGAATGAACTAATCACAAAATGGTTTTCTTGTATTTCCTGACTTCACTGTATGTTTCTCATTCTGTGTGAAAGGGTTAATTTAGAAACATATCACCTGTTGTTGACCCCATTGTATCATGTTCATCATTTCAGGATTCATATCAGGATTCATCTCACTCAGTTGGTTCATGTCATTGACATTCAGAGGATTTTGGCCCCCAACTGGAAATCCTGAAAAAGTAAATTGTAGATTCCTCAGGCATAGCTGGCTAAAGGTATGGTACTGAAACTGAGAGTGTAGTACTTTAGAGAAAAATGTCAGGATTAATTTAATATCTTTAAAACGTTTTTGTATTCTTATTGCTAAAAAAGACCGAAAATTTGTTCTTTAAAATCTTGTAGAGGGATTATTTTGGAAGTTTGTTTTTAGGATTCAATCTTTTGAAATTATTTATTAACCCAGACGATAAAAACTTTGGAAATTAACATTTAAGGAATTTCCAGAAATGTACATTTGGGAAGTTGCTGCTTCGATAATTGCAAATTTGGGAAGTTGCTACTTGAAAAATTGTCACTCGTAAAGTAACCCTTGGAAAAAGGCCCTTGGGAAAGTACAAAACACCCTGAAACAGCACTGGACCATATGTTCTATTTAATCTTATCAAGTGCATGGAGCATCTTAATCTGAAACTTCAGTTCAGCAAAATAGAGTGGGACAAAAGGACAAGAAGTTTTTAAAATCTTCTGAAGTGCATGAAGCATGTTACCCTAGAGAATTACATAGCTTTGTGTGGCTCATTCAAGTTAAACTGAGTAATATATTGAGCACCTTACACTTAAACTGCAAAATACCATAAGATCCATTTCATCTAAATTGCACTGCACTGGACCATGAGGTTCATTAAAGATGAATTTGTCAATACTCATTTGACCAAAAAACTAAATACATGACCATACGTTCTATTTAATCTCATTAGGACCATGAAGGACCTTTTCTCTGAAACTTCATTTTAGCTAATCTAAGTGTAATAAGGCTCTTGCTGAGTATGAGGACACTTAGTTCTTTTTAATCTTTGTGGTTTGTTCAAGTTAATCTTTATGTCTGTAAAGCACCTCAAGCACAGGACCATAGGGTCCTATTCAGCTAAATCAAACTGTACTTGACCAGTGTCTGAATTTAATGAATTTAAGACACGTCTCAAATCCCCCAAAAACTAGTTTTAATTGACCGCCGGCTTAAATCTTGAAAAATTTAATTCAAATTTAAGTGGAACCAACAATATTTGAGCAGCTGCTTAAATTTAAACCGCCGCTTAAATTCCTTTAATTTGGCCTCAGGACATCCATTACAGCTGAAATAATCAACACTCATAGCTTTATATGGAACACCTTACCCTGAAACTGAACAGGACCGTAAGGCCCGTTAATGCTGAATTGAGTGTAAGGAGCACTGCCCCGAACCATCATAGGACTAAGTAGAGGGTTCATGAGAGGGACAGAGGAGGGCATCTCTCCAGTTCTATCACCATCCTCCTAGATAACATGAAATTTTTGTCTATAGATTTGATTTAATTCAATTTCTTTATCTTGTTCACAGAATTGAATTTTCAATTAAAAGCCTGAACATTCTATATTGTGTAGATGAAGTTGGTATAATCATGAAAAGGTAAAAATTTCTTTGCTCTTATAAATATTGATTATTATAATCAATACATTAACTTAAAATGATGGTGGAAGGAAAACATTCAGATTTAAATGACAAGTTGTTAAAAGTTTTTTAATCCTTAAATTGTTTGCCATGGTTTTATAAGTTTAAAGTTAATTCTATTTCACTTTATCTAAGAAGTACTTACTGGAGGCAGGAACTGAAATCCTTGGACTCCATATGGATTCCACATTCCCTGAACAGAGCAGAAAACTTTAGAATGGGATATCCTTAATCCTGATCTGTTAATCTGAAGATTAATAGCAAGAGAAGAACAATCAATATTTAATCTTGAGATTAAGAAAAAGCTTTGATCTTGATATCCACCATTCTAAAGATTTCAGCTCAGATTCAATATCTTTATCTTAAATTCAAATCTATTCATATTTCTCCCACTACCCTCAATATCATCTTATGTTGGTCATCCCCAATTCTTACTGTGGGAAAAAGCATTTATCCTTAAGATTGAAAAGGCCCACATTGGATATCAAGATTAGGCGTTCAAGAATATCATGCCTTTAAAAGAAGAAAATCTAGGAATGGTTATGGTCATGGATATTTGTGAAGATCAGGATAAAACTTAAGGTAAGGGTTATGGTTAAGGACAAGCTCAATATCAAGATCAAGGGAAAGTTTGAGCTCAAGATTAAGCTTATAATGTCAAAGTCAAGGTCAAGGTCAAGTAGAGTTTACACAAAAAACACACAACAGTTTCGTGTTTTTCCCACGAAATTTTGAATCATTTGCATATCAATAAGAAACCAGTTTTAGACAGAATTGTGCATTCATTCATAACAAATATTTTTGCGCATGAATACAGAATCAAAGTTTCTTGCATGATTTTGAACATTAATACAAAATTAGATTATAGCTTTGCATGAAATTGTGTAAGGCCCAATTGTGTATTAGAGATTTGAATAATAGTTACATTATGATTATATTCATTATTATGTTTTGAAAAAGTTTTGTTTGGGTGTCTCTTTGTTTGCTATCTATCTCTGTTAGCTAGACGATATTGGGTAAAATTTGTGTGCAACAAACCCTGGGTACCAGTGGTCTAGGTGAAGTTCAAGGTGAAGGTCAAGGTCATGGTCAAGGTCAAGATCTATGTCAAGGTCAAGGTCAAGGTCAAGGTTAAGATCAAGTTCAAGGTCAAGGTCAAGGTCAAGGTCAAGGTTAAGATCAAGTTCAAGGTCAAGGTCAAGGTCAAGATCAAGGTACCTGATTTTGTTGGTTTCTGTTCATGTTTATATAGAATCTGTGAACACCTAGATATATTTCATACATTCCATATTCTATCTACACAGTTTATTTATTTACACCAGGTATNCTCAACTTAGAATCTCAAAACCAAACTAAGAACATTCCCGTGGTTCTCCCAAGTTCCTCTATCAATATTTGAGGCAAATTAGTCCAGGGGTTCCTGAGTTATGATCGGACAAACAAACAGACAGGGAGACAAACAGAGATTACAACTTATATAAATATATAGATTAATTCATTATTGAATTGAATTTTTTGTTTATAAAAGGGACTGTAACGGCTGGGCAATGTTACGTTAACGCTGTTAATATAATTGAGATTATTAACAATCAATCAAGAAAGAACGGACAATATCGTTAACGGATATGGAAGGTTCCGTTAACGCTGTTAAAAACGATAAATTCAAGAAGGAACGGAAATATAGTTATTACGAATAAGGAACGTTGAGCTAAAAACGAAAAAACCAAAAAAAATTGACCATTCTGATATTCCGTTAACGAACGGCTTGAAAAAATGCTGGACAGGTCTCAGTCTAAAAAGGGACATGTACAATTGTACAGCTGAAACCTTCGTTTAAGCAAAAATGATCGAGATATCTATGTTTCTTTTTTTCAATTGATAATTTTCAATTGTGGTTTCTCTCCAAAAGTGGAATGCAGCATGCAAAGCTAAAGAGAGAAATTCTAAGAAGAATTGACAGTTTAAAAAATCTAAGAATGAAATAATATTCTTTAGTTCGTCAAATCTTAAATAATTCAATTATTAATTATTACCACAGTAGCTCATGAGAAATGAGGTTACTTTTAAAATTCGGTGATGGTGATGGACCAAACCTCTGTAGAGTAAAAAAGTAGATGTTAGTTCCACATTTATTGAAAATATATTTCGGTCTGGGTTGACCCTCGTGGTCACCACCCTCGTCAGTTCTTGAGATTGTTTCTTCACAAAGATTAAAAACAAACCAAGGTTACTAAAGGTTACTTCCGCCTGCCGTTTACCCGCACTTGAACGATTTTACCGGGAAACTAAATTTTCTTTCTGAAAGTCGACCCACTCAACTTGGAATCTTAAAACCAAGCTCAGAACATTCCCGTGGGCCTTCCGAGTTCCCTAATCAAAATTTGAGGCAAATCGGTCAAGGGGCTCATGAATTATATGTGATCTGAAAACATACAGACCAACAGAGATTACAACTTATATTCATTATTTTATTCATTATTTAATTTCATTCATTTATTATTTTATTTTTTTTCTTATTTTCTTATTTATTCTGGAATCATTTTTAATTGTTTTATTAGTTTTTGATTTATGTATCATTGAATTTCTTCTTTAACCATCAAAACTAGTTTNAGAGGGACAGAAAGGGAGAGGAGGGGGGAATATTTTCTCTTCGAGTTATTCAATTTTTAATTCTTTAAAGTGTTTTGTATGGTTTTGTGGTCTGGACGTAAACAATAAAACGATGGTGTAGGCTAGGGGAGGGAAATCAGGTTTAAAACCAACTTTAGTTAACTATTTTACAGTCCCAAGGGGGCACTCCCCTCCTCCCGGCTTGAGGGCAACACCCCCCCCCCCTAGACCTGAGTGTGTATACATAAATAATAATACAGAAAACCACTTTACAATATTGCCTGCAGTATTCAACCCTATCTTACTCAACTACTTTCTAACATCTTTATTTTTAAACACACAAAATATAAAGGGACTGTGATGAGCGTAATTTCAAGTATACCTCCATGAAAAGATGTCAATGACCGATGGCAAGATGTCATAGTCATCAATTATTTTTCGACACATTCGCATATAGTTGATATTTCATAATATTTTTATTTTTCATGATCTGAGAGTTACTTTTGAAAACATTTATTCCTGTTGCGAGGATTATTGATAATGAAGACGACATTTTCATATTTTCCAGGAATGTTCAAAAATCCAGCGCCAGCTAAATATTATTTTGAAAAACAAAATCAAAAATATTATGAAATATTAACTATATACGAATGAGTCGAAAAATAATCGATGACTATTGTTTCTAATATCTGATTTGTTTGGAATTAAATTGATTATTTTACGATCCGAGATGAATGTTTCAACTTTCTAAATTTGCATAGGGTTTTAATAATTTTTTAGCTAATATAGGTCCTGATCTGGCAAAAACTATAAAGGGTACTAAAAAACAATTTTCTGACTTTTTGTCACAGGGAACAGTTGAAAACTTTGTTTTTACAAATATGACCCCTGATATTATAAATGATGCTCTTAAAAAACTAAAAAGTAAAAACAGTTCTGGACCAGACAAAATTTCAACAAATTTGCTGAAGTCTATCATACCAATTATCTTGTGTCCTATCTGTCATTTATTTGATTTATCTTTCAAAACTGGGTTTATTCCTACCCCTCTTAAAACTGCAAAAATCGTCCCAATCTTCAAGGCTGGGGAAACGGATAATTTTACAAATTATAGGCCTATAAGTTTGCTTTCTTCGTTTTCAAAGCTTCTAGAAAAAGTGGCAGAAAGTCAAATCATAAAATATTTGAATAAATTTAAACTACTTTATGAACATCAGTATGGCTTCAGAGCCAAGCACAACACTACTCAACCCTTAATTCATTTCTTGGATAAAATATACAACGCACTAAATAAACCTGTATCCAAACTCAGATATACGCATATTGTGTACTGAACACTCTGGGAGGAATGTAAACAAACCCAGTGCCCCCATAGCAGTTGAAGGGAAATGATTGAACTCTGATAAACAGAGTGATTTTACAGTCCAACCAAACAAATTAGTTAATATATCAAGTTAGTGCAGATACAACTTAATTCTTTAAATATAATTTTGGCTTTCAGATCGATGGAAAATTTATTAATGCTCAGTGAGATTTGTGCAACTATAAAGGAGAAGCAAAGTAAAAAATATTCCCACTTATCCTTGTTTCCGAGATTTAACTTTCTTTTTAGATTTAAAACCTTTCTCCTTAGGCATAGTCTTTCCAACTAATGTTTATATCCTTCCTCCCAATGTTTAAATTTTTCCTCATAACGTAATCCTTTTTCCCAACATTGGAATCCTTCCTCCTAAGGTTTACATATTTCCTCCCAAGGTTTACATCCTTCCTCCCAAGGTTTACATCATTCCTCCCATGGTTTACATCCTTACTCCCATGGTTTAAACCTTTCCTCCCAAGGTTTAAACCCTTCCTCCCAAGGTTTAAACGCTTCCTCCCTAGGTTTAAACCCTTCCTCCCAAGATTTACATCCTTCCTCCCAAGGTTTAAATCCTTTCTCCCAAGGTTTACATCCTTCCTGCCGTGGTTTAAACCTTTCCTCCCAAGGTTTAAACCCTTCCTCCCAAAGTTTAAACCCTTCCTCCCAAGGTTTAAACCCTTCCTCCCGATGTTTGTATCCTTCCTTTCAAGGTTTAAACTCTTCCTCCCGATGTTTGTTTCCTTCCTCCCAAGGTTTTAATCCTTCCTCCCAAAGTTTAATCCTTCTTCCCAAGGTTTAATTCTTCTTCCCAAGGTTTAAACCCTTCCTTCCATGGTTTACATCCTTCCTTCAAAGGTTTACATCAATTCAATAGTTTCTTTATTCTAGAACCAGATTGAAATGATCGAAGGTATTTTCAATTTCCAAAAATTAAAATTTTTATGTCTGTGGTGATGGATTTTTCTAAAAATATCTATTTTTATAAGTGTTCTTCTAATCCTAAAGATAATTATCAAACATAAAATGCAACTTATTCTGAATCTTATTCCTTGAAAACGGCTAACTTTAACTGTATTCAGGAATCTATGAGTGCGGAAAATTCAGCTCAAAAAAGTCCTCTAAACAGGCACTAATATATGTATGTGGGTTTATTGCAAAAAAACTCCGTACAAAAGTTCCCGGCCTTGTCAGAGTCGGCGAGGAGAAAACAAACTGTGATTAAATAGATTTAAAATCCAGAGGATCCTTGTTTTATCCATCCAAAGATGTATTGGAGGAAGTTGAAAAATATGAGAAAATATTTAAAAAAATATATGGAGAGTCTTTTGATAGAGGACATGATCCTATCGAAAAAAAATTTCAACTATTACTGCAATAAACAAAAGATGGCCTCGGGAGGTTGTAAAACTTTTTTTAAATGTAAGATTTTTCAGTAAACTGAAAAACATTTATGTAAGCTTTAAGGAAAATAGTAACAAAAGATGTCAGAACAATGAAACAAACTG